AATATCCGCAGAGAAAATTCGACGACAGAAATCTTTGGTTTAATTATTAATTGTACGTTTATTTATTTATTTCGCGAGAAACAATCGAAATTTTTATTATGGTACTTCGGGACGAATTTCGAATATCGAAGAAAAGAGATAAAATTTATCCATTATCATATTATTAATATTATTCTGGTCGTTGCGAAATCCAAAAGAAAATCTATCATTTTCTTTCTTCCAGATTCCGTCGCGTTAATTTACCGTCCTATCGAATGGAGAAAATTCCGTAACGCCATTCGAAACGTCGTAACAGCTACAGCGTCACGGCCCGTTTTCGTGGAACACGCTATGTTTTTCCAGCTACGAGGGGGTGGCTTTTAACTTTAAGGCGGCTCCCCGTTTCTATTAATTCGAATTACGGTCGGACTTTGCACCGCGATGCGGATACGTGCGACGTCTGTTTAACGATGTTTCAGCGTCGTTTGTATGCCACGCGTTCTATTCTCAGCGCCGTGCAACCATTGCGAAATAAACACGATTATACGCGGAGACTGGCGCAAATTTCGAACTGGTGCCCATAGCGTTATAGTTATTTCTCTTTAAAAACGGAATAAAAATGTAAAGGGGAAACAATTCGGAGGAGGAAATATAAATATAAAGATACGAACTATAAGATTACTTCTTTGTAATCATTTATATTATCCGATTGTAATTTTAATTAATAAGGGTACGTGTCCATATAAAAGGATTTCAATAATTTTGCAAGTATAATAAATAATACTAATGAATTATATTTTTTTGCTTATTTTGCATCACAGATACGTGTATCATGCATTTCTATTTATATTCATGTGAGTGGAAGTAGTTGGGAATAAAAGGAGCTCGACTAAAATTTGAATAATCAGACGCTACGTAAAAATACAGAGTTTCACTGTACATCTTTTAAGAAAATAGAAATTTTATTTATCCTCGCATTTTTAATATTTCATTTTATATAACGGTGAACAGCGATCAATTTCGTCGTACCAATCGTTTCAAATTTAAATACACGCAGTCAATTTGAGCGTGAAATTATCATTATCGAGGCAAAGAATTCTTAATTATCCGTTAATTAATGATAAAATCGATACGCTCTTCCCTGAATTGGCCGCATAGTTTAAAACATGCCAAGTTATCCGCGTCTTTAAAACGTCGTCTTCACCCATCCAGAGATGATATTCTATTAATTTGAATCACGAACGGACTTTGCGTCACGTGCGACGTCTGTTTAATTGCGATCCCGTGTATTTGGCGAATGCCACGAATTTAATGTCTATGGCGTGGCCGAGAGTATCGAGAAGTATCCGGGAATATTTGAAAATTTCGTTAAATTATTTCAAGTTCACCGTGCGTAATTTAACGCAATGAAATGAATTCGTTGAATTTTTATAATGATTTTCATATAATGGAAATTCCGTTACATGCGAACACGAATTTTTAACAATCGTTGAATGTACGAACGATTCGATACCAAGATGTTTAATGGCTGAAGAATTAGAAAAGTACTGGAAATTTTAAATACTTGCTTGGTATGCTTCATAAGGAAATAATAATTAAAATAATGAAAATAAAAAATAAGAAAAAATTGTGTTTTAGACTTTGCTTTTTTAATAATTGATAACTGGAGGGCTGAGATAGTCAAGTGCAAGTCCAATTGATAGAAAATGGAACTATTATATATTACAATATTACAATTTAAAACCAATTCAATATTGAAAGAGAATGTAAAAATGTACGAAGAAAGCTATTCTTTTCTTAAATATTAATTTCTAAATATGAATTTCTCAAAATAATTTCCATGTAACTTATGTCATATATTTAAACGGTATAAAATACTCGAGCAATCTTCAGTGCATGAAACCAAGTTTCATCCAGAAGCGTATCTCCGCCGTAAGTTTGTGAACCGTAAATCTTGCGGGGTTGAATCTCACCTGCGAAACTCAAGGTTTTATGGTTAATAAACGCAAATACTTGGCACATTGCTTATGCGAATATTGATACACATTAACTGTCGAAGCGATAGGAACATTGTCGACGACAATGGTGGGAAGAACAGTGCCGCAAGCACCTTATTGAACAACGATATTAATGCTCCTCCTGTGCGTGGAAGTTTGCAAACAATGCTGGGGACGCGTAATCGCGTGAAACATCGCAGTAAGGGTTGGATTTAACGACTCGCCAGATTCCTTCGCCTCATCTCATCTATTTCAGTCCCGAAATCACTTCTGTGATTGCACCATTCAAATTAGAGAGGCACGAATATCTATAATTATAGCGAAAAATACCATTTATATGTTTTCTTTACTGTTTCTTTAATTTTTATTGTTTAAGCGAATTTTTATTTCAGAGATAAAAAAAATATTGATAAAAATCAATTTTTGCTTGGCGCTTGAGTTACTTTTCTTTTTTCCAAAAGTGAAACGAATATCGAAAGAAAACAATTTCATGATGCTAATAGCATAAGACGGCAGTTTTAAAATTCCATAAAACCACTTTCAATATTTTTTTCAACGGTGGATAACACGAGAAATGCTCGCTTCTTTACCGTAAATGGAAAAATTATTTAACATGGCAAGCGACATAAAAAAGAAGGAAGAAAAACAGGTGGCGCGATGTGCACACGAAGCTGGATGATGTACAAGTGTTAAGTCGCGCGCGAGAAGCATGCACGTAAGGCGAGAGCGTATATTTCTCGCATGCAATCCACCAGTATGGAAGAAAAATAATATATAACGAGCAGGAGAAGATGAAAGGTGGTGGTGGTAGTGGTGGAAAAAAACAAGAGGCAAAATTTGCCGAGAATCAAGGAGAAAAGTGTACAAACCTTGGTGGTTCTCGACGTGCCCACTCTTTTTCGCGGTTAAGCTTCGAATGGACCCGTCTCTCTTTTGTTCTCACACAAGTTCCCAACTGAACGCGTGGCTGTGCCTCTGAAAATATTAACCTAGGTCTTAAGAAAGCCATGGTTCCTCCAGGTTTTCGCAGTTTCAAAAGTTAAGACGCAAGAAAGAATTCACATGGCTCGGCTCGTTGCCTCGTGTTTTTTTCAAATTGATTGCACGGCCGATGAGACTTTAAGATATGGAAAATGAATTGGATGTTTATTTATACCATTTGTTCATTCTCTTTGCTTTCTCTTACCAATCTTACTTTCGTTAGGTAAGTCATTAATATAGGTAAATATTTACGAAAAGGTAACCACTTTCCATTTTGATAATTTTTTATTAACTTCCTGATATCTGTTATTATGGTGAAAAGTTTATGAAAGTTTTATTTGGCGTTGTTTATTAAAAAGTTATTAACTTAACATAACCTAACTCAAACTAAATCATAAATCATGAAATCAGAAATTAAATAAATTTTTATTTGACATTAATTAATTTGACATGGTTAATTCTAAATTTAGTTTCACGCAAATTAAAATTAAATAAAAATTCATTATATTAGCTGATTTAATGGTTAGCATTGGGTTTAGAATATTTGGAGTATAATTTTCTTAATCCAGCTACCTGTCAATATATATAAAATTATATTTGACCTAACCTAATTTAAATTGTTTTCAAAAAATTTTTTATTATATACAATTTTTTGTAGAATAATCTTGATAATATATTAAAAAAAACATCGAGATCGAAAAATGGTAAATAATTTTATAAAATTTTTTAAATCATTTCTTTTTTTTAAAAAAGAAAATATTGAATACTATTCAAATCATGTTAATATATTTAGTCATAATTGATTATATTAAATTTAAATTAATATCATATTTATTTTATATCATAACAAATATTTAAAATATATTTTCGTTGCGATTCAACCACAACGCGTTCCTGCAAATGACAGTGTGATACGCAAAAGAATACGTGTACATAAATAAAATATGATTTTGTCACGTAACAGTTTCGATGCATTAGTTACGCTGTGTTAAACTTCTTGCATATAAAAAAGAAAAAAAAACAAAAAGGATATCCTTCTCATGGAACATAGTACAATAAAAATAAATTATTATATTACTTCATAATGTGTAATGTTATCCGGTTACGAAAATTGTTATTTCTGCGTATAAATTGACTTACAGTTAATCATTATCAAATTAATGTTCGAATATCAATAATATTGATATTCCTATGATAGATAATCAGTAACACGAACGAAAAGTTAAACAATAAGATTTCTTCCAAACAACGAAAATTAAAAATCACTTAAATATAAATAATCTTGCTTCGAGAAGCTGAAATTATTGGAAATATTTCAGGTTAAAACGAGAGGAGAAAAATAAAATAAAATTAGGAGACGGAAAAGCGGAAGAGATGACATCCGACATGTAATTTATACTCTTCACTCTCTGTGATGATCTTGCAATCTTGATGACATCGATACGCGCATAATGAATCCTCCAAAACTCTTTGATCTAAATTTTTGACGTAACTTGGAAATTGGGGAACGATTGGATTAATTCTGTTAAAATATTTCGCATGTTCAAATTGAAAATTTTTTAACGTTAATTTTTTAATTATTTGAATATCCCGACATAATTTTGTTAATTTCTATCTATTTAATATATTTACAAAGATTCGAAAGGAAGAAATTTTGTATTATAAATATACTTATGTGCGATATACTTACAATATTGTAAACGAGAATGCATGTGTCAGGAAATAGGAAAGTACGAACAATTTCATGAGCCTGTTATCAGTGTCAGCACGTTATTTTAGCAAATGCTGTTTCACGTTAAGGCGGTCATAAATGGGAACGGTGGCCAAAAGCCGAAGATTAATTCGAAACTCGAATTTGATCGCCAAATGTTGATAAAGAAAAGCGGGGAGTGGTCTGTAATTCCAGAAAATAGCGACAAATGGATGCGTGCCAGGAATCCGTGTAGCCTGACCCACTGGGTCAAAATGGACACCGGCAAAAATCCAAATTTTCAAAATGCGTCAAGTATTGTTAACGTCTGTACACGGATAACCGACGAGTTCTCTATTCTAGGATGAGTGGAACAAGAATAGAGCAGCGGTGAATGTCATTGACGTTAAAGATGGAATTGCTCTCAATTTACCTTGAAAATCGAATCGTTTGAAATTTATAGAATCTCATATATAAAATATACGTCTTTATAAAAAGCTCGAAAGATAACTAAAATTAATTCTAACTGGTATCATTGATTCATGGACGATGACAGGAATTCGTGTTACGTTTGAATTAAAAATCAATTATTTTTATATTCTTATTCAACGTTTTGCATTGTAACAAATATTGTAATAACAAAATACAAATTATTATAATTAAATACTATAATCAAGTTTAGCCAAATATAAATTATTATAATAAATTATGATAACTACTATTATCAATTGATTAATGTTAAAATGGTTTAATTCAATATCAATATATCAATAGCAACAAACAAATATTGTTTTTTTTTTCTACATTACAGTATAATATTTAATAATTTAATTTAGTAAGACATTGTGATAATTAGAAATTCTTAATGAAGAAGAAATTCTTAATGTGGATAGAAAATTCTTAACAGCAGTCGCCATGAATAATTCGCGACTAGATACCGTAAATGTCGCGCAGTTTTTCCAAGGTGTAAATCATTGTTGCCGAGTCCCGTTATAAAATCTTATCCCTACTTCACTTTCCAGCTACAACAGCTGGACATAAACGTCTGTCCTCTGATGTCTCTGTATATTAAAGTGGAAAGTTATATTCAATGAAATATTACAATTTTACATACATCGAATGCAGTATGCAAAGAAGATTTCAGAAAGAAAGATAAACTTGAATTCTTCTATGAAAAAGAAAGTTTTAAAAATTATTGAAGAATTCTTTTATTGCACGATTAACATGATTCTACTATATATAAAATATCGTAATGTGGTAACATTTCAAATGAAAGAAATGGCTATTATAAATATCGATAATAATTAAACTATACACAAAAATATTTCAAATGGAAACCACTAGTGACAATTTAATGGTATCAAATTTCTTATTAATTGAATGGAAGAATTTTAAATTATGGTTATCTTACTAAAACATTAATCTTAAGATGGAAGAATTCGAATGCATTTGACTCTGAAAAGCAATTTAAAAGAGTTTACACCGTATAACATTCGTCGATTAATGATATGGAGTAAAGCAAAGGTATGGAGTACACTATAGTTGCATGTACAAAGGTATTACCTTTCAGAACCTCCTTCAGAAGTATCGCGAAAAACTTAGTTTTGCCGAGACGATAAATCATCTTGAAATTCGCCGGGCTGACAGGCATGTAGTTTTACGAAGACCTGCACGCAAAATGCAAAACAGTCCCCAGCAGAGGCCGTGGGCTTGCACCGCAATTAATTAGCATTTCGTGATACTCGTGCATGTGTCGAATACTCACATTCTTTTTTTATATCAGCTAAAGTTAAAAACCGCTCGCACGATAAGATGACGCTATTAGATGATCCATGGGATATATATATCACCATCATTCTCAAAGAATGAGAGATCTGATTGACGATTAATTATGTTGTCAGGAAATTTTTCGAAAAATATAAGAAAAGGATAGTTTTTCTGATCACAATGATCCTTGAATTTTTGATTTTTCTATATTTACGTTTATTGTAATCATATTCTCTTCTTTTCTTAAATAATGAATTTATTCTTTGAATATTGATATAAATATTATTCTTTATTTATTGAAATTATCAACGACATACCATAATAATAATAAAGTAATCAAATTCGTTCATTGTTTAAAAATTCCCGAGACCAATTTAAAATAAAATATATTTTCAGAGATTAAATTAATAAAATTAACAAATACTCAAAAATAAATGAACGGCATAAAAGAGCGCATAGGGGAATAAGGTATGAGATATAGAAGAATCTGCCAAGTAAAAGAATAGGGTTTTTTTTTTATTAAAATTCTTGCATCGATGAGAATTGAATGAATTCTCATAAAATGCAAGCATATTTTGAAAAACTTCATATAGTTTATATATTTACTTTATATCCACTTATATAATCATATATTTACAATAAACAATATGATTAATCTTTATAACATATTTTTTTTTGTATTACAAAGTCTTACTTTCATTCGCCTGTCCAATATCAATATCTCTAAATTTTTAATGAATATTGTAATATTTTTAATTTGCCAAAATGATATTGCGAATATTAATAGACTATGTATAATTTTTATATCACATCTAATTGAATTGGTTAAATCGTTACAATTTATTTTAATTATTTTTTTTTTCTTAATACTATTTCTAATTACTTTTTTTTTAGTGCTTGAACGTTGTTGCATAGGCCGACGTATCTAAATGGTGAATTTGAGAAAATACGAAGAAACAATCCACTTGGGTAATATTTTAGAATGTTTCGGCAGATTCGATAACAATCCCGGATGTAACTCTTGCAGGAAACAAGAAAATTTTATTTTCAATAATTAAAATTTATAACTCGCATTAACATCAGGTACAATGCCCGCATCAACCTGATCGGCAGCAATTATATGATTCGTAACAATATCTTGTTCTTCATTGTCGTGAAACTTTTCAAGAAAGTTAAAGCGATTCCATTTCGATCATGATTTTTTAACAAATCCGCTTTTAGGCGGCGGACCAACAAGTTTCTCGGATATAGGTGCGGTAGGATCTATTCCCATAACAGGATTATGTAATAGTCCATCTGTCTCATATGTAGAAGAA